CTCGGTAGCTCTTGGTTTTGTGGCCGTTTCTTTGCCGATTTTGTGGCTCTAATTCCAGAGAACTGGCGCGCTGTGGGAGCTTTGTCTTAATCCTGCACTTACTGTTTGGGATTCCTTGATCTGAGGCTCTGTGTCTTTCCACAAGTCTCAGAAGTCCTCATTTCTTTTTTTTTTTTTTTTTCTGACTGGTAAGGGGATTGCAACCCTCGGCACGGTGTGGTCTGCACCACGCTCACCCAGTGAGCGCACCAGCCATCCCTGTATAGGATCCGAACCCGCAGCCTCGGCGCCACCAGCACCACACTCTCCCGAGTGAGCCACGGGCCAGCCCAGACGTCCTCATTTCTAAGCTGTTGGATGATCTTCTCTGGGGATGAATTCTAGACAAATTCTCCCTCCACCAGTCCGGCTCACCAATCTTTCTCTAGCAGAATCTCATATGCTGTTTAACCTTTATATTAAATATTTAGTTATGTTGGTTAATTTTATTTCTGAGATTATTTTTTATCCCCAAACTCCGTAGTAACTTTTCATAGGTTCACGTTTTTCAGTCATAGCAGATTAAACATAATTCATTTCCTGAGAGTTCCAAAATCTCATTTACTTCTATACACGATATTCTCTCTCTCTCTCTCTCTCTCTCTCTCTCTCTCTCTCTCTCTCTCTCTCTCCCCTTTTCTTTTTGCTGGTGCTAAAAAAAGGGAGCTCTTCCCCACCTGGTGGTTCTTTGTTTTATGGTGTTGTTGGGAGCTCAAATACCACTGAAATATGTTTGTGCAGATATTAGAGACACGCATTTAAAGTAAATTCTTCAAGAAATAATTTGCATTTGTTTTGGCCAGGTAACCTGGAATTCCATGAACTCATGAAATCTGAAAGTACATTCTCAGCCAGGCTTTTTGACCCATGCCGCCATGCCCCGGCCTTCCGCGGTACCAAGGACCCCTTGGCTGCCTGTCGGATGGGCTGAGTGTCCTCAGCAGTGGCTGCTTTGTGGACGTGCCCAGTGAGGTGCCATGTGTCTTCCTGCTCCTCATCTCCTCCCCAAACTCTTCATCAGGGGCTCCAGGGTGAACGCCCAGCACAGCACACGGCTGCATGTCCTTGGGCACAACCTGTGCTGGATCCTGACCTTCACGCTGCTCTTTGTCCCAGTGCGTGAGATCTCAGAGGGCGTCCTTTCGGATGTGGTGACCGAGTCCTGCCCTCTCCCCCTATACGTGCCAGCTGGGATGGTGTTTGTGGCTGCTGTCACCTCCACGGACTGCTACCACGACGTCGAGACCTTCAATTTCCACAGGCTGCTGGTGGCCCCTCCAGCCTACTGGACCCGGGCCTTTACCTCCAAGACCACAAGTCTGTCAAGTTCTCCCAGCACACCATCAGCTTCTCACAGCTCCACTGCTGCCCTGCAGGCTGCTGGTGATCCTCTACGGGATGCTGCTCCTTGTGGAGCTCCCTGTCATCCAGGTGAGGGGACATGTCTTCTTCAAGAAGCCAAGGGAGGGGAAGACCCCAAGGACCTGCAGGACATGGGGGTGCACTTCCTGCAGCCTTTCGTGAACCTTCTGTCTAAGGGCTTGATGGATGCCTGCACCGAGATGGGTGGATGGACGCCTGAACAAAGACGGGTAGATGGACGCCTGCACCAAGACTGGCGGATGGACTCCAGCACCAAGGTGGGTGGATGGACGCCTGCACCAAGGCAGGTGGATGGACGCCAGCACCAAGACCGGTGGATGGACGCCCGCACCAAGACTGGTGGATGGATGCCTGCACCAAGACCGGTGGATGGACGCCTGCACCAAGGTGGGTGGATGGACGCCTGCACCAAGACCGGTGGATGGACGCCCGCACCAAGGTGGGTGGATGGACGCCTGCACCAAGACCGGTGGATGGACGCCTGAACCAAGGTGGGTGGATGGACCCCCGCACCAAGACTGGTGGATGGATGCCGGCACCAAGACCGGCGGATGGATGCCTGCACCAAGACCGGTGGATGGATGCCTGCACCAAGACCGGTGGATGGACGCCTGCACCAAGACGGGCGGATGGATGCCTGCACCAAGACCGGTGGATGGACGCCTGCACCAAGACG